GCGCCGGCCCGGTAGTCACAGAGGGACCTGCGGGCGCAGCTTTGCTTCCGACTGGGCGGCGGCGGCGCAGCGTCCTGTCACGGACCTGAGCTCCGGTGGGGATGAATGGGGTGCCGGTCTGGGGCCGGGACTGGGCCACCCGCTCGCGCCTGGGAGGCCCCTCATGGTGTGAGCAGTCCCTGGATGCTGGGGTCGCACCCCGGGTACGCTGTTTTCTCCTAACTTGTGACCGGCCGCAAGACGGGAGGCAGAAAGGCTGAGCAAGCAGTTTGTTGGTCCCAGGCAGCACCTTGAGATGGGAGCCCCTAGGTGGGGTCCGCAGCTACTGCCCCCTCAGTAAAGGGGGCAGGGTCTCATACAGATTCCAGGTTCACATTCCAGAGGGGTGACTCATCGCTGTGCCCCCTGATGCGAGGCCCGGTTAATGATCAAACTTGGGCATGAGGCCCAGCTGTTATCACCTCCCGGATGCAAGGTCAGTCTGTCCCGCTGTATCAAGCTTGGACGCCGGCTCAGTTCTTTACCGCCCTAATTCAGTCCTTGTCCAACAGTGTGGACCAGGGGTTGCCGTTGCCTTTGAGGGTCCCAGACACGGGGAAGAGTTGAGTGGTGTGCAGGTTTGGAGGGGTGTCAGCTGGCAGTCAGGGTCAGGTCTGGGGGTGCCCCAGGAACATGGACTGGTGGACCAAAGCTTGGGGCCCTCATGCCACGCCAGAGCCCCGCTGTCCCCTTGCTGGATCTTGGTCGGATCAGCGAGAGGAGGAAGCTGGCTCGGGGGCCAGGCCCCTGCGTCCCACGGTGGGAAAAGGACAGTGGTGAGGGGTGAGCTGCAGTCTGGCGAAGCTGCTGCCTGTGCGCTCACATGTTCCCTTCCCGGCAGGGCTGTGTCACCTTTGAAGACGTGTTCGTGCACTTCTCCCGGGAGGAGTGGGGGCTCCTTGAAGCTGCACAGCGGCGCCTGTACCGTGACGTGATGCTGGAGAACTTTGCGCTTGTGGCCTCGCTGGGTGAGTCCCCGTTAATCTACTGGTCCGTGGCACAGTCACAGGACACGGTGGCTGAAATCATGTTTTAGTTCTGAGAAGTCACCTCAGTGCTAGTGTCTCAGGAGCTCAGTCACAACTTGCTGGGTGCCTTGACAAGGGTTCTCCTCCCGTGACGCATCTCAGTCTGCCGGAGCCGTGCTCCCACCATCAGGCCATTTTGGAAAGTCCGTTCACAGTGTCACATGTCTGGGAAAGGGGTTTTGCAGGTTGTCAGACTGAGCTTCCCTTCCCTGCTGGGTGTCAGCCCCAGGCCTCCCTAGTTCCTGTTCAGGTTGACGATCTGCAGTGAGCCTCAGAGCAAGGAGCCGCCTGCTCCCTGAGCGAGAGAGCTAGGAGAGCGTTGCACCGCTGGTCTGTTTCCAGCTTTCCTTTGGTGTCTCCCAGCATGGTTGCCAGGTCCCTTCCTCAGAAGTCAGTTAATTGTGGCATCCAGCAGTCCAGCAAAGGAGCTGCGCTTGGGCCCAAACTCCTTAAGGTGGGTGGCAGCGGGGCCATGTTGGAGCCGCATTCCATAGGCCCTCGCACCCGCTCCAGCTCCTGGGGCTGGCTTGTTCCTCTCCCCAGAGAGTGACCTTCTCCTTCCACCCACATCGGTGACTCTTCCCCTCCCTTCTGTGGCTCCTGAGTCGTCGTTCTGGTGCCTGCGCTGGGCCACGTATGGTGGCCCCACCCTCCCTCAGCAGTCCCCATGCTGCTGCCATGGGGCCTTGCGCAGTGGGCTGGTGGACTCATGCCCCTGGAACCTCGGTACCTGGGTTATGTTCTGCCTCGTCTAGATGACGATTCCCAGGTCTTGACTGATGAGAATTACAGTAATGACAGTCGCTGCCTATCAGGCTCACAGGCTCTTTAGACGGAGTCTCAGTTTTTTTTATTGCATTTCATTTCCTGCCTGTGCAATGGGTCAGCCTGGGCCACTGATCTGCCATGTTTTTTCTATACGGCTTGTACCTTCCTGATCCCGTCACTGCCGAGTGGGAGAGGGACAGATATCCCTGGAGCCTGGCAGGACAGACTTGCCTCCAGCCACAGCACCAGAGACCCAGAGACAGCCTGGCTCTGCAGGGTGGGCAAGGGGGCCTGAAGGCTGGGTTCACCTTCAGCCTGCTTTGTGTCCACCAGGATTTCCTGCTAGTCCTTAGCAGTACTTTGCTTTCCTTTGCAGTCTTACTTGCAGCCAGACTTCTCTAGGCCTGGACATGTTTCTGCAGAGCTCTGACCTAGCAGCCAAGGTCCTGCTGAAGCCCTTTGCAGAGGAGTAAGTCGGAGAACGCACTTTCCACCTCCGTTGTCTTTCCCCATGATTACATCCTCTGTGCCTCGACCGTCAGAGGCCCAGGACTTCCTCGCCCTGGTTCTGGCTCGCTTGTGCCAACAGGCCAGTGCACTTACCCATGGGTGTGTCACACACATCTGTGACGGGGTCACTGCTTCCTATCAGTGTCGACATGTCCTTCACCAGCATTTCTTTGCTTTTAGATTGTTGGCGTGAAGCAGACAATGAGGAGGCCCATTCTGAGCAGAGCGTCTCTGTTGAAGGAATGTCGCAGATCAGGACTCCCAAGTTGGGTCTCTTTACCCAGCAGGCCCACCCATGTGAGATCTGTGAGCCCCTCTCGAAAGACCTTGTTCACCTTGCTGAACGACAGGAATCACAACTTGTGCGTAAACTGCAGATGGATGGCCCATGCCGGAGAGAGTTCTCCGTCAGGGCAAACTTTCACCTGCACCTGGAGCAGCCTAGTGGGGAGAATCCCTTCCGAGGGCATGACGGTGGGCCTTCATTTGTGAAGAGCCATGCAGTCCACCGAGGGCCCTTTGCTTGCGGGAAGGAAGGAATGGGTTTGCGAGATGACTGTGGCCTCTTCCAGCCACAGATCACACACCGTGGGATGAGGTCACCAAAAAGGACGGAGTTCACAGAATCTTTCCCCCCTACCGCCAGTCTGGGGCAGCACCAGGATGACCCTGCTGGACTTCTGCTTTTCACCTGCAGTGACGGTGGGGATGCCTTCCTCAGCACCCTTACTCTGCTTGACAACCAGATAATTCATCCTGAGGGGAGGCCCTTTAAAGGCCTACCCTGTGAGAGTATATCCAAGGAGAAATCAGCCCTTACTGATCACAGAAAAATTCACAGTGGAGAAGGATTGCATGTACGTGAGGAGTGTGGAAAGGGCTTCGTTCACCCATCCCACCTAAAAGTACACCAGAAGTTCCACCCTGGGAAAAGACCACACATGTGCAGTGAATGTGGGAAAGCCTTCAGCCGCAAAGATACCCTCGTGCAGCACCAGAGAGTCCACACTGGAGACAGGGCTTTTGATTGCAGTGAATGTGGAAAAGCCTACAGCCGAAGCTCGCACCTTGTGCAGCACCAACGAATCCACACTGGGGAAAGGCCTTACAAGTGCAGTGAATGTGGGAAAGCCTTCAGCCGCAAAGACACTCTCGTTCAACACCAGAGATTTCACACTGGAGAGAGACCTTATGAGTGCAGTGAATGTGGGAAGTTCTTTAGTCAGAGCTCCCACCTCATTGAACACTGGAGAATTCACACAGGCGCAAGACCATACGAGTGCATTGAATGTGGGAAGTTCTTTAGCCACAACTCAAGCCTCATTAAACATCGCCGAGTCCACACAGGAGCAAGGTCTTATGTGTGTGGCAAATGTGGGAAAGCCTTCAGCTGCAAAGACACCCTTGTTCAGCACCAGATAATTCACACTGGAGCAAGGCCCTATGAGTGCAGTGAGTGTGGAAAGGCCTTCAGTCGTAAAGACACACTGGTGCAGCATCAGAAAATCCACACAGGAGAAAGACCTTATGAGTGTGGAGAGTGTGGAAAATTCTTTAGCCACAGCTCCAACCTGATTGTCCACCAGAGAATTCATACGGGAGCAAAGCCTTACGAATGCAGTCAGTGTGGAAAATGCTTTAGCCACAACTCCAGCCTCATTCTACACCAGAGGGTTCACACGGGCGCCAGGCCTTACGTGTGCAGTGAATGTGGGAAGGCCTATATCAGTAGCTCCCACCTTGTTCAACATAAGAAAGTTCATACTGGAGCAAGACCGTACGAGTGCAGTGAATGTGGGAAATTTTTTAGCCGCAACTCCAGCCTCATTCTACACCAGAGGGTTCACACTGGAGAGAAACCTTACATCTGCAGGGAATGTGGGAAAGCCTACAGCAGAAGCTCCCATCTTGTCCGACACCAGAAAGTTCACAATGGAGAAAGGCATCTGGATGCAGCGGTTTTGGTGGCCATTTAGCTGCTTCTCTTTAGTGTAGCAGCAGCAAACTCACACTAGACTAGGGCTATGAGGGTGCAGAAAATCGCTCTCCTTGTGCAGCCTAGTGGGACCCACACCAGAGACTAGCTGTGAGCGCCTTTTGTGAGGGAGCGGTCAGCCGGCAGGTGAGCCTGTTTCCTGCTGATGTCCACTGTGGGAGATGCCCAGTAAGGACCACTGAGGTGGGAAGGCTCCCTAGCTGAGCCGTACTTTCCGAACCCTCCATGACTCTGTAGAGTAAGGTCACTGACGGGGCCTGTGGTGGAAGCCTCGAGGCTACCCACTGTGCATCTGACAGCATGTGGCTGTCGGCCCAGTGTGCTCAGGGAAGTCTCACCCAGGGGCCCTGGACTCTGAGCCCGGGAAGGCATCACTGTCGGGGACTGACCCGATCACGGTTGTTGGGGGACAGAACAGACAGGGTCTTAAGAAGTGGGAGCGGCGTCATCGAGTGGAGATTCCTAAAAAGGCGGGGAAAGGAGGGAGTGGGCGTGAGGAAGACAGGAGAATTGGAGTTGGGTGCAAGTCTTCCTGCTCTGGTTTCAGCAGAGGTTTGTTTTATACATTTCAAGCAAGCAGTGGGATAACATTTGCATATGAATTGGGCTGAGAGATCACCATCATCTTTTTTCTAAGAACAAGTCTGGGGTCCTATTGACCTTCAGCTGAGATTATAACATTATTCTTTTATTATAACTTTATTCTTTTAAAGGTTAAAACAGGTACATAGATTGATAAAATTTAAGACTAATAATACTACATTTACCACAGTGAAGATTAACCAAAATAAAGTCCCTTAAACCCTAACTACTACTTTTGGCTCTCATTCTCATTGAGATATCCTAGAAGGTAAAGTAAAGTGAGGACAGGAAGGAGAAATTTTCTTGTACATCAATCACAAAAGGAGATACAGTAAAGTTCTTTAAAAACTGAATAGAAAGCTTGAGTAGTTCCTTAAAAACTAAATAGAAGACTTGGGTGAATTTCCTTATCTAAAGACTAGACAGTAGAAAGCTTAAATAATTCGTTGGAAACTGAATAGAAGACTTATATGAGATAGTAGAGTGATGAGATTTGGGTTCTCGTCCATCCGGGCAGTAAAAGAATATGTTCTAGTACTGCCTCATATTATAATACTGATTTTGCTATAGCAGCCAATTGCTTTTATTAATCAGCCAATAGTAAAATTATTTGACGTTGAGGAATTTCCCGCCCTGGTGCAGTGCTTGCTTGTCTGGGCCAGGCAGCACCTAATGAGGCTGAGGCAGTCCAGTTGTAAACTGAAGATTGCTCAGAATATTCTGATATTATGATTATACAGAAAAAGGAGGTCATAACATAAGTTAGCGTGGAAGTTCTGATTTTTCAGAGCACTTCCCCTCCATCGAAACCGTATCTGGCGACAGAAGTTGCATAGCTTGTGTCATTTCCCCCTTTTTTTTTTAATCGAAGATGAAGCACCTTTAATTTGATGTGGGTCTTTTTGAGGGCTGTGAAGAGGGCTGTGAGGAGGACTGGAAATATAAACGAGAGAGAGAATGATTAGGAGAGAAATGTCAAAATTAATCAGGGAGGGGAGAGCTAAGCAGCTGTAGAGGTATAATGTTGAAGAGCAGAGAGGAAAGAGTCAGCAATTTGGGCAGGAGAAGCAGCAGAGTTGTATAAGAAAGGCTAATTATCTTAATTTCATCCTGTAAGGTAGACATATCAAGGGAGACATTAGTATTATTCCATATAACAGGTAAATGATTTTTTACATGGAACAGGAGTTGTACAGATGGGGATAACATAAATCCACTTGCATTGAGAGTGACAATGAGTTTTAATATTTTAAATCTGATTATCTACATATAAAGCAATCTCTTTTAAAACATTTAAATGAGCCTCAAATTTTTTAACTGTTTTTATAAATACAGTGCAGTGGAAATTTTTGAGTTAATTTATTTACATTATTATCTGTATTTTTTGTACTAAAGCAGTAGTAGATATAGGAGAAGAACTAATAATTAGTAAAGAGCAGTAATTTTTACAATTAAAGCAGCAACTAATCTCTTAGACAATTTAAAGCTTATTTAACCAGCTGGAGAGTATAGGTACCAAAGTTATACTATTTAACATCTAAATCAACAGGCAATATAGTACAAGTAGATTAACAGACAATTAGTTATTACGATATTTTAAATCACAGCCAGCGAAGGAGGAACCAAAGTATCTTCAGTAGCTTTAGAAGAAGGGGCAGAGTTGTAAGCTGTCCTCGAGTGGAACGTTTATGGGAGGCAAAAGTCTACGAGTCGATCTTGGGAGTGGCGGAAGCCTGTGAGCCATGATTTTGAAGAATCTATCCGGGATCTAGAAGAGTGAGTTGGCATCCTGTGGAAAAAAATAGAAGCATAGCCTTGCGCACAAGTTAGCAATACATCTGGTAGTTTTTATAATTTTGTCAGCAGGTCCTTGTACATAACTAGTGGTTTTGGTTTGAACTGTTTTGGCTCCCAGTGGAGAGAATCACAATTAAGATAGTTGATGACAAATAAAACATAATTTAATATATTATGTCCATAAGTGTATTCATAATCTGATTGTTGTAATTTCAATATTTGTGATTTTAAGGTTTGGTGATTTTTTAAGACTAGAATTTTATTTTAACAAAAACATTTAACCATAAGATTAATCAGTCTTTTTTTCATCATATGAATAAATCGACCAAAATAATGTCCTATTTTCAAACACACACATATTTTTTAAAAACCCATTATTTGCAGTTTTTTTTAACCAAGGCAAATAAAATTTACTTTCCTCAAGCCTTTTATAACTTACTACATACCTTGAAGTTTAACCAAACATTTAAAAAGTATATATATACACACACATATATATATATATCTTTAGACACCACAAATTTTTAGCAAAAAAGCAAATAAAAAAAATTTTTTAACCTTTATAACGTATTATAAACCCTCAATTTTTAGTGAAAAACAAGCTTATATATAACATTTCAGCTGATGAAATGGAAAATCTGTTACATATGATGGCTTCCAAGGAACTTAAATTTTAATGTAAATTGTAAAGTATTACATCTATTTTATGTAGATTTTTGATACCATTTTTAAAATTCTAAAGTCTATATTAGGTTTATCAAAGAAACTGGTAAAATTTTAATATTTGTAAATTTTAAGTGTTGGCCAATAACTATATAAATACCAATAAATATATAAATATAGTAAATACCAAATTGTTGAAATGTAGTATTTTAGAACAATGATTGACATTATAATTTACATATAAGAAAAATGATACACGTTTTAGAAAAACAATGTTGACAGTTGTGTTTGTCGAAGACTTTTTTTTTAATGCTTCCTTTTTAGTTTTAATTTACGCCAAATTGGATAAATTGATCTGAATGTCTGTTTATGAGGAGAGGGAGAAATTTTGTGGGGTGTCTCAGGAGCTCTACTGAGGTTCCACAAAATTTCCTTTGATGAACCAAATGACAGACTATCAACTTTTACTTTAAATTTAGAATTCTGGGAAGCTTTGTCACCAATGTAAGAAAAAACAGCAACAACAATCTCAGTCTTTGTGAAATCTCCGGCTCAATCAGTAGTACAAGTGACAGTCAAACCATAGCCTTCTGTTTTTCCTTCATGACTAGGGACTTGGTCCTCAAAAACCTTACTTTCTCCAAACTTTCACTTTCCTGACATTAGCAACCCAAGCAAAAGGAAAAATATACCCAATACAACCTTAGAAGCGTCTGTTTACAACATTATAGGACAAATTAGTTTACCACGGACCAAAAATTACCCCAGATTGTATTTGCAAAGCATGTATACCAGTTCTCATCAGTTTTGTTTGCTTGTTAGATTCTGCCCCCCCCCCCAATATCTATAGATACCATCTAAATCAATTTTATAACCTCGAGGTCAAGACAGTTAAGCACAAGGACAAGACATACAGATATTTAACATACAGACACAGACAGTTTTAGTTACTCCATGTGGAATCTTATGTAACTGCAGTTTTGTTCATATAAACCCAAATGATAAAAATAATTGAAAAGATAAAAACAAGAATAAAAGAAAAATTTCAAGGAAATACCAAATTAAAACTGAAGGCCTTATTAAAAAAATATTGTTAGCTTAGTTGTACAACATCACTGTTAATGTTTCTAAATGTTCTTAAAGGAAAAAGACTGGTGAGAGCATGTTTATCATTTCAGGGTTTTTTTCTCTCTTTTTTGTAGGGGGTAGGGTCAATTCATACTTCTTCGATGATTTTTTTTGTCATCCCTTTTTTCTTTGATGTCTCATCATCAGCCTGATCTATGTTTATTTTGATTTGCCACAAAAGCCTCAGAACTAGGTTTGTGTAAAAGAGGTGTAGCTTCATCTGAGGCATTATAAATCGTCTTTAGTCTTTTATTAATAACTTGTGGCTCTGGCAGAGGGTCCAGCGCATATCTCAAGAGTCTCCACAAGGTTTTAACAGGCGTGTTGTTAGGCCCAAGGTGGGAGTAGTACAGCCTCCTCTTTTCCCACTTTTTCCTAAGTTTTTGTATTTAAGTTCCTGTCTCCAGGGAACCAGGATACACAGCTCTACAAGGTCTGAAGGTGCTGCCGACTGAGCATGAATCGACTTAATGTTACGTTTATCAAGAGTGTGCTTAACGATAAAAGGGCATCTTTCCCTGGACTGATTCTTACTCATAGCCGATTAGTTCATAAGTTTGGTGATTCCTGCCTTTCCTAACTCTATTCCTTCTGCCTAGGGAGCGCGCAGTCCCTAGGCAGAGCCCTAGCCTTCCTGAGGAGAGCGAAAGCTTACCTTAAGTCCCTGTGGGATCCCTGTTGACGCCCCCGTTGGGCACCATGCATCACTCCTGCCCTGCCAGCACCAACACGCCTGTTCCCTCCCCATGGCTGGGGACTGAGCGGGAGTGATCTCACTCTGGCCGAGGGATCTAAGCTGCGTTTGATATGAGTTGCCAGAGGGATTTTCCTGGTTCATGGGCATTGTCGGCTGTTGAATAATACAGCTCAGACTAGTCTTTCTGCATCTGCACACCCAGCTGAGATTGCCTGCCGCGTGCTGCTCTAGTGTGTCATGGTACAGGCCAGTGTGGCAGTTTCTACTCTGGGGACGGGGCGGGGAGGGAGCCATGCACTGTGTGAAGAGGCCTGAGGAAAGAACTGCTTCCTGTTCACGTGCAGGGAGGAGCACATTTTTCCAGCACGACCTGAGTGGACAGCAGGCTGGCGGAGGACAGACCCTAATCTGGTTTGGCCTAAATTTTGTTGCCCAGAGCTTCTTAGAATAGACGAGTGCTTTATGATCTGGACCCTTTGATCTGGCTGCATTCTGAGGAGGGCAGATCTGAAAGTCTCCACTACCCTGGAAGTGACATGAATCGGCACCTTGTTCCTGTGGAATGTCGAGTACTCGCAGCTACTGTGAGGAATGTGTCTTCTGGGTCTGCGCAGGAGCCGCTCCCTGATGTCCAGAACGGCACAGGCGAGCATC